AGTCTCCTGGACAACAAGACCAAGTTGCGATAACGAGGTTAATCCACTTCTATGCAATTTACTATTTCTAACTGTACATTCTTTTTTATAGTTTGTCCATTTCTAAATTTATCGTTCTGGAAGTGTATGTTGCAGCCTGCTAACGAAAGTCTGTCATTCAAGATATTACGGCTTAGATACTGTTAAATTGGCGAAAACATTGTGAACCCAATGAACCTTGCTTTTTCATTAAACTCATGCAACAATTATCATTGCGAAATAAATGTTTTTAACATTGGCTTGATCTAGTTTTTGACACCACCGAGGCTTATCTTTAGGGAAAAGTACATGATCATCACACAAGTAGTGGGTATATATAAGCAAATATCGAGTTACCATTTACTATGAAATCGAAATTAAATTTTGTTGTTAAATAAAATCGTATAATATAATTTATTACATAAAAATATAATAGTATGATATGGAGAATTTTATTTCGCATGAAAGTGCACTAAGAAGACATTTCAAGGCCGATCTCGCCAGGAGACGACGGCTGATTACCGTTGTACTGCAGCCATTTGATCTTAATACATCGTTCAGGTTGATGCAGTCAGCAAAAGATCTTTCAGCATTTCGGATGAAAACGGGCTGAGCTTTCGTAAATCAGCAGAGTTGGAATCCAGTCTTGTAAAAGACTCACTCTAACACTAGGTCAAGAAGATTGTCCGGCTCTAGACTACCTTTTATATATACTTAACTAAAAAAGGAAAATGTATGAGCATAGATAGATATGAAATAGTTTGGCTAATTATTTTTCATGTTGGTTATGCTGCATTTTCTTGCGTGAATGTGTCTATTTTAACGTCTCTACACAATATCGGTCATAAATGGGAATGGCTAAATTCAGATTCTGGTCATCAAGGCGTAAGTTCGTAAGAACTATGGTTGAGATAATGAAATGTAAGCTTGTAAGCATGTAAGTCAGGTTACGAAGCCACCTGTCTTAATCTCTCAGTCTACAGTTATTAAGGTTTAACAACCCAAGGAAATCATGATTTGGGTTGCATAATCTTGTACTTCTGGTTTGATTGATGAGCTTGATCCAACATGTTGGACGAGTGTGAGTAAGGTTAGAATCATCATTGAGTGGAGAAGCTGAGTCGGCTTCTTTCGGATAGCGGCTCTCTTTCTTTCAATCTGTCAGTCAAGCAAAGGTGGTCCTTACTCATCCTTCTACCACCGTTATGCAAATTCAATATATTTTCTAATATATTAATTTTTATAGCATCCCTTAACTTCCTTTTACAGCAGACCTATCTTACTCAGTCTACCGACAGCTTTGAGACCATTTATCTCATTTTTAATCTGTGCCATGTTTTCGACCATTTCTGACCCTTGGCTCCATCTGTCTTTACGTTCATTTTTCGTTCTTCCAATCTGTGGTGAATAGTCAGTCGTGTCTCGCCAACATGAACTTAACGACAGGAGCACACAATTTTGTAGCAGATAGATCCCGAGAAGGGGTTATATTTCTCTCTTAGAGATGGCAAAACCGAAAGGTATCAGGGTTTCTTTGAACGCCCAAAGTTCGCTTATCTTGCCAGAAAGAAAGCGTGAAACAATATTATGACATGATCAAAATTCTCAGTTTGGCCAGCTTTGACCAAATAGTCTCCATTTAAAAAATGTATTCCTCAGTAGAGAGATATTATTATCAAATATGTCCGAAGGATTAAGCCCAGGTCTAAATCTTTCAGTCGTTCCAAATCTTTAGTCAAATGGTTGCAAAGAAAATTAACAAAAGAGCCAACATTGGTTGGTTTCCCATAAGCATATTTTCTTAACTTACCCTCTTATCTGATGATTAGAATATCCAAAATGGTCGAGGACCTATGTTCTTCCTTCTTTTGACTTAACTTTTACTAACTAGCTTAGGACATTCTTTGTTAATTTGTATTTCAAACTTGGATGTTGATGCTGTTTTATTTGGTAG